AAAAAAACAAAAAAAAAAACTTTGGGGTAACACAAAACTGTTTCCTTTCATTTTTGTGATGCATGATTTCAAAAAATGAATGGTTATAATAGAATCAGAGAATAACCTAAGATGTAGAAAATGTAGTTAAAATCTGAACTGAAGGTTCAATCACAGCCGATCTAAACATGTCAGGGAGGAAGTGAATGCTAATATTTTCAAGAACCAGGTCAGTACAATTATCATTGTATTTAACCCTTTAAACTCTAACATCAGTTTCCATATTCTCCATACTCTTTTCTATCCATTTCCTTCAGTACTGACAAGGAGAATTTGTTTAACAATCAAAGATGCTTAGGTTGACAATCTTTTTTATGATCTCAATGAACAACTCAGAAGTATTTCTGTAAGGAGAAATTACATGATGGTCTCTCATAGGGTTACCCATATCAGAAAACAACTCTGCAATTGTAGATAGATGCATTCTTGAAAGTGCAGTTACCCTATGACCGATCATTTTGCAGATCTTGTGTAAGTGCGTTTTGAAGGTTCAAAAGTTAAAAAGTTGTGGTAGGAAGATTTTCAACCATTTCAGGTTTTTTTCTTTTTTTTTAGCTGGCTATTAAATAATGATTGTCTATAGATAGAGATGGGTAGGCAAGGGTATGGCTCAGGACCTCTGAAATTGTTTGATTGGTATTTGTGGTTTTTTTTTCCTTAATCGTTTAATACCTGTAACTTCTACAGGATGTAAATTTCAAAAATTGGTACTATAACAAGTGAAAATCTAATGATTCCAAACCATTATAATATGAAAACCTGGTTGGTTTTTAGTTGTCATATGAATTCTAAGACAAATGTCTTTCAATACAAATTTGACATACATTTCAAACGTCTTATTGGTTTTCCAAAAAAAAAAAGCAAGGTTGAAAACTGCTATTTCTATCAAAAAGGCACAGGTAGCATTAACTGATTGTTTTGTCGAAATCTGACAATAAAGGATTCAGAAAACTATTTGAACAACAGTCATTTAAAGAGTACTCAGCCGTTTCGATGCAAACTAAAAGGAAGCGCCTCGTCAATTTTAAAGACATCCTAACTAGAATTTGAGGGCTGAAAAATGAAATTAAAATCAAGCAAAAGTACGGACAAACTTGTAACGTATTAACTTGCCTTAGGATCTCTACAGCTAGTGGCCACAACACAAATTATACGATAAGAAGAATACGGTATACAAAAGTAGACAGAAAGCTCGAATGATATCGAAAGAGCAGGAAAATAAAACAAACCAGGAATCATGGAAACCCTTAATCGTAAATAAACTTAGAACACATGTAGAGCTTAAGAAGCGATTCACCATCCTGGAAACGAAATGCTAGCACAAGAAACAGCTGTTCGATAGTCATTCAAGCCTGTTCAATTTACAAAGAAAAGAATTATGTTATTATGTACATATAGATAGGCGGGCTGAAACTGTTAAAGAGAGAAAAAAAAAAGCGGTCTCCATGAATGGACATAACAGACTGAGAATGTCATGCCAGAAGAAGAGGTTCATGTTAACTGCTGGGTAGACTTCGAACCACGATCGCAGTCGACTCGAACAGCAAATATTACTTGTGATTTTGCCCGCTTTTCTCCCTATAGTCCGATGTAACAAAGAGAAAAAAAAATACCTACATTGAAAATAAAAGGAAATACTTCTAAACTTATGCTCAGGCGGATCAAATTAGGCGGTATTAGTTCAATTTCGACATAAGAGGTCATGTTTAACGATGTTCCACGACTCTATAACAAATTTCAGACAAATCTCCTGAGCGGAAGATTTTAGGTACCTCTTTGGTCTACTTCATCGTCAGAGTTAACCACAGGAGCATTGGATCGCTGGATATGCTTCTCAGGGGCTTTGAGCACTTGATTACCTGATGTTTGAATGAAAAATACAAATTGCCAGAATGATCAAAGTCCGCGTAACCAACAACAATACCAGCTCAAACCGTAATGTATGACCTGTGCAGCAGAACGCCTGTTGAATCAGCTCAACTTACTTTTTTCGTCTACTTCATTGTCATGCTCTTCCTTCCTTACAGAAGGATTATTTGAATCAATGATTTTATCAGATTGTTCGCGTTTTGGTGAGTCGGTATCAGGTAGAGAATAAGCCAAATGACATCCTAATAGAAGAATTATTCCCAAAGACACAGTCATCCGCACCGGCGCCATGATTGATTTCGGCATTGGCCGTCTCGAGTTGAAGACTGGAAACGAGGTAGTAAGCCAATCACGATACAATACGTCTTGTTATTTCACCGCTCTTTTCAAGGAAGATTCATCCGGTTTTTCACCGGAGATGATTGCGTGGCATCAGGATTCATAGATTCTACAAACTATACTTTGGTCAGGTGGTCTAGTTAATTCTACAAACTGTAGTCTGGTCTATTTATTTTTGTCTAAGAGTACCCGTTTTTGCCCTCATGAACCACTCGAAAACCGGCACTTTTTTCAGGAGGTGCGATAATTAGCGTGTAATTTATTCGCCACGCTGGCAGTGGCACCAGCAACAAATCCAAATCGGGAAGATGACACACTTTAAATAAGTTTACGGCTTGCATAGTACTTCGGTGTCTAGTATATTGAAGTGCTGTGAATTATCTGTGAAAATAATCAACAAAACATCAACCTCGTTTGATCTCCTAAGTCACTCAAATTATGCCACTGGAATGAACACGTGAACTTTTTAAAATTTCTTAAAACCGCTTATAAAAAATCAACTCTTGGATCATTCCTTGAGTCAAATTCATGTGCTCAGCTGTGGACAAACGGTCAATTCACCAACTATTTATATAACGTGAACATCCAGTTCACGGCATGGCTTTATTTATCCAGGGTTCATCCTCTCCTCATTCTGATTACTCGAACCCTCTATTGACTCGAACCTCGCTTGAGCTCGAAACAAAATCGGGTCTCCCCCAAATTTCCAGCATACTTCTACTGTAATTTGACGTTTGCTGACGCGAACCCTCGACAACAAGGACTCATCGCCGATTCGAACCAGTCGAATGTCAATTCCTTAACATTTATCATCGCGGGTTTTTTGTCGATGTGTCAATAAGTGACAAATAAAGAAGAAAAGCTGAAAATTTTGTTAAATCAGCTGTGAATTTTCAATCGTGTTTTCTTCACTTGTTTTTGTTTTTTTTCTGTTTGTTCCACGTTGCATTCAACGTGTCAATCCAATTACGTTTTGCTCCTTCACCAGCGCTCATTTAACGCACTACACTAAACTTCCGGTTACTCAATAATTTATTCCGTCAAAAAGTGGTGATCGTGAGAAAAAATCATAACAGTAACTTTCCCTTTTTCCTTCTCAACCTCCTTTACTGTAGGGGCAAATTGGATACATCCTCCATATCCTTAATCTTCAAAAATTTCTGCGTGAAAGTTGAAGTTTGCGGATCTGAACTCAGAAAAGTGAGTTTTGTCATGCTATGCTCGGTGAGAAATTTTTGGCCTATATCTCAACCCATACTTCTCTAGGAAGCACGAGGTCTCCTTCAATTTGCTGCTTTATCAGTTATGAATTCTAATTAATGTTGTCGCACCCTGCGGTAGACACAATTTGCGTTTTGTTGCTAATTAGTCAATCATGCTATTTATGGTTTATCAAGAGTATGGGAAGTTTACTTATAGCTACTGAAAGCTAGTGAAGCAAGATAGCTTCTGATCATCACCAACCATTCCGCGGAAAGCTAAATAAATCAGATATGATAGTCTGGAATCTTGAGTGTCGTAGCTCGATAAAACAAATCACTAGCTTTGCTTTTCACCAGCAAATGAAGGACCCTGCAGTTTTTTTTTTTTTACTACTTGTCTGACGATAAAACTCTTGCAATAACATGATCGCATACCACTGCTCAACTTGCTTCCTCTTCTTGCGTTGCCACTAATGACGAGGGAAAGGGGTGAGTGGGGAAGGTGTGAGCTAGTCGAGAACCCTCCAACCAAAAACTCCTAGATCCACTCCGATAGCTGAAGAAACCGTAAAGAAACCGTAAAGAAACGGACACCTCGTTACCAGGGTCATTCGTTTTATTCGATTGTATGTTAACAAGGTACAAGTAGAGTAACTATTCGCTGAGCTAAGATGAATATGGCATAAAAATGACTGAAAACCATGGAAACAATTAAAAAGGAACACTCAGAGGAAAAAAATACAAAGGAAACGGAATTCGTAGCAGTAAACTTCAAAAGATCAGCGCGATTTTCGTCATGTTTATCTCGCTTTGTATAAGAACGTCAATCATAATGTTAAAAAAGTCATTTGTTAATATTTTTCGTGGTACTGTTATCCTGCCAGTTGAAGGTTGTTATCAGGCTACCTTAAAATATCAAGAGTTCATAAATGAAGAAGATAAACAGGTAAAGTAAGATACAGGAGACCTAGCCGATACTGGAAACATTACATGTTACTTGGTGGAAAAGAAATTTCACGCTTCCCTATTCTGCTTTGTAAAACACGCTTCTTTCGATACTACTGACCATAGCAGTGCGCAAGACGCTAGTGAATTATGTGATCTCGTCAGTAACTATGCCTTTAAGTTACTTTGCACCTTAGAGGCAGAGTAACCGATCAGTTGTGCGTTTGTGTGGCGTTCATTTAAACACAGGAACTCCGATCTTGTTGTTCCATCTTTCGTAATATATAAAATTTTAAAAAGTCTATCTTACATTGCAGTTTTTTTCTGATAATATAATTCGCATTAGTCGATAATTTCCTTTCCATCAATAG